AAAATGTCGAAACGCGTAGAAAAGAAAATTTCGCGTTTCTTAGAAAAGTTCAAGAAATTCCGGATCGATTTCGAAATTTAAATCAAAATCGATCGAAAATCAAAAGACTGAAAGAGACGTGATATCAAAAAAATGTCGAAACGCGTAGAAAAGAAAATTTCGCGTTTCTTAGAAAAGTTCGAGAAATTCCGGATCTATTTCGAAATTTAAATCAAAATCGATCGAAAATCAAAAGACTGAAAGAGACGTGATATCAAAAAAATGTCGAAACGCGTAGAAAAGAAAATTTCGCGTTTCTTAGAAAAGTTCAAGAAATTCCGGGCCGATTTCGAAATTTAAATCAAGATCGATCGAAAGTCAAAAGACTGAAAGGAACGTGGCATCAAAAAAATGTCGAATAAATCGTAATTAAACGCGTAGAGAGAAAGAGAAAAACTTTCTTGGAAAAATTGGAGAAATTCCGGGGCGATTTCGAAATTTAAATCAAGATCGAAAGTTGAAACACTGAAAGCGACATCAAAAAAAAAAAAATGTCGAAACGCGTAGAAAAGAAAATTTCGCGTTTCTTAGAAAAGTTCAAGAAATTCCGGGCCGATTTCGAAATTTAAATCAAGATCGAAAGTTGAAACACTGAAAGCGACATCAAAAAAAAAAAAATGTCGAAACACGGTCGAATAAATCGGAATCGGAAGGGCGCAGGTGCCATTAATAGCGGGTGTTACGGTTACGTCTCGGCCGGTTGGAAGACACTACGTCACAGAAAACGGGACACACGCCGGGGAAAGTTGGGAACGCAATACGTACGTACGTGGCGGTGATAGTGGCGTTGTCGTCGGGAGATCTGTCTGATTAGTGGCGGCTGGTTATTCGGTTGATTTATCTTGGGAGGTGTCCCAACCGGCGAAAGCGCAAGTTGACGGAAAGTATAGAGAGATCCGGTGGACAGGTGGAACTAGTCCAGGACTCTCGGATGCAGATATCAAACCCCCGCGCCTGTAAATCTGCCAGCTGGGCCGGTGTGAAACGGCGGCGGGTCGGATTAGGAGGCAGAGGTCGAGAGGGGCGGCCGACCACCGGCCAGTCGGAAGCGCGCCATGAACTATTGCATTTGATATCCAACCCGATGAATGGAAACGGTGAAGCCGTATCCACCCGCTTGGCGCCATCTCTGCCCACCACCGTGTGTGCGCGAATGCAGGTATAATACCCCTCCGTGCTTCCGCCAACTATGATAACCAAGTATTTACGGCTTCTCTTGCGAATTTCTGTAATTTACAACCACGGCCCTCCTTCGCTATGCGTCACTTGATATTTTTATCGACAACCAACCTCCTTACCCGTAATTGCTCATGAGCGGCCCTTTCATCGANTATATTGATGGAGGTGTAAATAGCGGAAGCCTTGGATTTTCAAGTTTAATTTCTTCGAGTTTAAATAATACAGCAAAGGTATAACAGTTTTGTTTAAATATTTTATTCCTCCGTTTTTTTATTCGATAGAGTGTACTTGAAATGATAATTCGTAGCGAATTTGAAATTTTGAAGCTTGTTTAAAATTTTTAAAAATTCACGCGCGCGACGATTCAGATGATGCAAAGTTGCGCGCGTCGAGCCATTGAAAATTCGTATTCTCTTCTCTCTTCCCCCTCCCCCCCCTCCGAATATATCGGATCTAACATCGTATTTATCATTAGCGTAGGAAGTGATACCGGTATCAATAGCAGTGTACTACATATGTCGGCTCGTCAAGTATTACCATGGATCGTGTATTGTACCGTGAATGAAATCGATATCTATTTGGTACTTCCAGGCCAATTTCGGCACGTATCAATTATATGCACAATGAAATATAATACTAGCTAGCTGTCGCGATACTCCTTCTCCTTCCTCTTCTATTGTCGGAAATACACAAGCGGATAATCATTAACCAGATCATTCGTCAGATTCCATTGGTTGAAAAATTAAATTTCAAGTTAAGAATAATTCTTGCTCATATAGATCATATAGAATATTGATCATATAGAAAGTTGCATTATCGTGCACCACCAAATTTGCATCATTCAAGATACCAAAAAGGAAGGGATGCGAATTTCTATTCTAAAAATTACTAGAACTAAAAAACGCATCTCCTTCATCAAATGAATATTTCAAATTAAAAATAATCCTCGTTATTGATTATATAGAAAGAAAGAAAATTGCACTACGTGCATCATTCAAGATGCAAAAAGAAAGGGATGCGAATTTCTATTCTAAAAATTACTAGAACTAAAAAGCGCATCTCCTTCGTCAAATGAATATTTCAAATTAAAAATAATCCTCGTTATTGATCATATCGAAAGAAAGAAAATTGCACTACGTGCATCATTCAAGATGCTAAAAAGGAAGGGATGCGAATTTCTATTCTAAAAATTACTAGAACTAAAAAGCGCATCTCCTTCGTCGAATGAATATTTCAAGTTAAAAATAATATTGATCATATCGAAAAAAGAAACTTGCGTCATTCAAGATTCCAAAAAATCGTGGGATGCTACTCTAAAAATTACTAGAACGCTCTAAAACGCATCCCCTTCGAATGAATATTTCAATTTAAGAACAATCCTCGCTATTGATTATATCAAAAAAAAAGAAAGTTGCACTATCGTCCACTATCAAATTTGCATCATTCAAGATGCCAAAAAGGAAGGGATGCGAATTACTATTCTAAAAATTACTAGAACTAAAAAACGCATCTCCTTTGTCGAATGAATATTTCAATTTAAGAATAATCCTTGCCATTGATTATATCGAAAAAAAGAAAATTGCACTACGTGTGTCATTCAAGTTGCCAAAAGATCGAAAGATACGTCTACTCTAAAAATTACTAGAACTAGAAAATCTCCTTCGTCGAATGAATATTTCAATTTAAGAATAATCCTTGCTATTGATCATATCGAAAAAAAGAAACTTGCACCATCAAACTTGCATCATTCAAGATGCCAAAAAATCGTCGGGATGTGTCTACTCTAAAAATTACTAGAACTAAAAAACGTATCTCCCCGGCCGAATGATAAATGTTTACCCATCAAAAACAGCAATTTCCATTATCCTTCTCCTTTGAAGTTGGATGCACGAGAATGAAAATATTTGCCAGCCGCCCCTCCCCTTCCCTCCCCAAACCTCCCCAAACCTCCCCAATAGCAGAGCACGCGTGCAGGTAAGCGTGGAAAATACGTGATCACATGGTGGTAATCGTGGCACAAAGGGAAGGTAGATACACCCGGAAATACACCCACGGTTGCTCATGATTCACCGCGCCACTCACACG